GGACGGGTAACGTTTTTACTGGCCTCTCAATCCAAAGATCCGATGTCACCAATTGAAGTTGTTTGTACTATTATGTTTTTTCACTTTGCCTCTGCTTCGTGACAATGTCAGCAGATCGCTTTACAACCGCTAATTTACTGCTAATTTTGTTCCTTTGTAAACCGATTTGTTCCATGTATATCTTTTTCGGGAAATGATTTTAAAAAATCATTTTCCGAATCTAATGACCACGTGATTGTTGATTTTTCTTGCCTAGCTGTCTGACCTGTGTGTATAAACCTGACGCACCAGTTTACAAAGCGGAAATTCTGTAACCGCTCATGGCATGGGTCGGCGAAGTAAGAGAGATCATTACCGAAAAATAACACCAGTCATTTTTCTTTGGCCCAAACCTTTTTCGGCCATATTAGCAAAGGTCGGTTTACTAAACTCAGCTTTAGAATTGCTAAGGGCAGGTGATATCTTAAAAGCGTCTTTTCGAAGTGCTTGGACATCAATGGCCGTTGAGAACATAACAAACGCTTCGATTTTCTCACTCGAATGTTTCCTCTTGGATGTAAATTTAGATTTTACAGAATATCTCTTCATCGCACACATTTTGACGCTAGTTGTCAATTTTGTTTCTTGCTTCACAGCCGCTGGTGGAAACGGCGTTGTAATTCTTGCCGTGTGGAGGACGCCGGCACTTCACACGCCGTCGAACGTGTTTTTATGTTGCTTGGCGCTAAGCGATCTTACCGTCGGATTGATTGCACAGCCATCTTTTGTGATCCACAAAATCGGCGAGCTTCTCGAAAGCCACAGCATGTATTGCACCACAAGAATATTGACAGAGTCAGTTGGGTATATAACAGCCGGTACCTCTGTTCTCACCATGACCGGTATTGCGATCGAACGGTATCTTGCGTTGTATCTTCATTTGCGCTTTAAAGAAATTGTTACCACGAAGCGCATCTTAGTGGCTGCCCTCTGTCTCTGGGTGTTTTTCATCTTGTTGGCCGCTTCCAGATTTTGGATTGCGAATGATAGTATCTTCAACAACATAATTATTTCGTTAATCTTTGTCAGCCTGACATTCACCTTCTTGGCCTATTTGAGGGTTTTAAAGTACGTTCGTCGCCACGAGAACCACATACGGGATCAAAAAACAATTCAAACGGCTCAGCGATGCCCGGTTGAATACCGTTTAACAAAGATGACGCGCTACAAGAAATCCACATTGACAATGGTGTACATCTTAGGCATTTTCGTGCTCTGTTACATCCCGTTTTTGTGCGTCAAAGTCGTTTACAAGATCGACGGGTATACCACAAGCGTCAAGACGGCTTCTTTGTACGCTTCCACAATTGTGTTTCTCAACAGCTCCTTCAACCCTTTGGTTTATTGCTGGCGTATACCGGATATACGGAAAGCGGTGAAAGATTTCTTTTCGCCTTGCTTTGGCGTCGAGAGAAGTAGTCCAGCTAGTATTGCTTCAGCGAACACAGGGCGTCATCGAAGAAGCGGGATGAGCGGAAGTTTTACTGCAACACGGCGCCCTTCGCTTAGGGTTGAACAAGCCTGAGACAGACAAATCATGCAAAAAATACATGTGCCACGGAACGGGAGAAATTTATATCGAGGAACCGAGTGTATCTAATTGAAAATAAGAAAAAAGACAGCAGGATGTCGATCTTAAAATATGTCAGTTTTTTTTACAGTAAAATCCGGCTAGCATGCCCTTTCTCATATTTTGGCGATGCTAAATTGTGATGTAAAGTGTTTATCACTGATTGACGAAGATTTATTTCACGATCCTCTTCACATTTCTGTTTTATGAACGCATATATATTATCAAGAACTTTACTTGCGAAAAATTAGTGCGTTATTTACTAGCTGATAAATCTGATTATAAATTTCCAATAAATAATAAGGGACTTCGTTTGCAGGTTAAAGGCAAAATGTAGGAACATATCGTATAGTTTCTTAATATATACAATTTCAATGCCTAGAGACAATCGCAGCTAAAAGCTCTTGATTGACACTCAGTAATTGAGCGTGATTATTAATTCCTTTTGTTCGCATAAAAAGAAACAGAAATTAACACCATATACACCAGTGTGGTTTTTCCGTCTCTCGATGTCCAGGTTTGCGGTGGTCGTGCCCACAGATTTATTAAAGAAAGCACCAATGATAGCTTTGGTCAAATACAAAACCAAATTATTTAAGACAATGTTTAAACCTATAAATATTTTTTTAATGGGTTTTGGCATAAGGTAATGCACACAATGGTCTCGTATAAAGCTATGAATAATATAATTCTAATTTCAAAAAAACTTTTTTAAATGCGTGCGCACGAAAAACGAGTGTTGATCGAGGAGCTTCAGACTTTGATAAAATACACTTTCAGTTAATTAGGCTTTTAACACTTGCTGGCAGTTATCCGGAAGAATTATGAGCTCAGCTGCCTTCATGTTGTGAAAATTATGTAAATATAGAAAGACTTAGGTTGACAAAGTCTTGCCAAACCTAGCTACCACGGTATAAAACGGACTTCTAAACGGAACTAGCTCATACTGTCTCTGGTCAACAAAGTAAGGATATAATGACCGCAGAACCCGGCCGTTAAATTCCGTATCGCACATGCACCTGATTATTGGAAGATATTTATTTTGTAAGTCAATATTGCTTTTCTCCTTAGTGAGTTCGCTTGTATGGCAAAAAGCTTGTTGAATAGTCTTCAATATTCACTCGCAAGGCTGAACGAAAAGAGAGGAAAATCCGGATTTTCGACGTTTTACGAAATAAGATTGGTGTGTTTTCGCGTGCGCCCAAATTTTGATAAACAAACAAAAATAATGTTTATAATAAATTAACTGTCAGGCTTAATGATTATGCAATATTCTGGGCGCTAATATGAGCGATCAGTATTTTTCTGTATCGGTTTAATCAAGAGAGATAAACATATTTTTTGTTTACTTTAACGCCCATTAACACTGGCAATTTTTGACCCAACTTTTGTCGCAGTTTCTATTGCAATTCTAAAAGCGACAAGAGTTCATGCGTTTCAGGGGCGTTTTGTTGGTTTGTCTTCCACTTAATTCTTGAAATTTGGAGGCTGACAGAGTTAAACCAGCGTGCACCTGCCTCCCCATTAGGCCTATAATCACCTTTAATAATGCATTTCGAGGCGGTTAAGTGCACTTAGTGTTTCTACGTCAATTCTGTGCAATTTCTCGACTTTTCGCTGTTATGCTGTAACTACTTAGCGACTACACGTCTTCTTAGCAAGTTTACATTTAAAATAGAGCTCTCTGCAGTTTACAATACCTGTTAATACAACACCCGCCGCAATAGTGAAGCACGCGAGTGACGTCATACCTCAGACAAACTCAGACAAACAAAATGGAATGGTGGAAGATTTGAAGCTTTTTTCAAGGGCGTAAGCAAGTGTTCCTGAAACAATTTTTAAAGCGAAAACTTGGCGTTCATTTACCTCCTATTTCTCTCAGAGCATGCTTATGTTGTCTGACTCTCGCGGGGTTTCAATAACTTGCATTCTATTTTTAGACTTCGTGCGCTTCGTTATTCACAATGTTCACAGTGGGTATGGAGTAAACTAAAACATACGTTAGTTCTAGAACGTACAGAAACCCCGCCTCGCAAAATAGAGCTTTCTGCAGTTAACAATACCTGTTAATTCAACACCCGTCGCAATTCACATTAGTGCAGAGTAAATGAGCGCAACAGTTCTAGAACGATGTACTGAAACCCCGCGTTGTTAAGTCTTCCTCGTGAAAAAAAAAGTTATTCACCGCTTATATAATATTTTTTGTTACCAATTTGGCACCCGGCAAAAATTAACGCAAAATTAGACGCGACTCACGTGATTATGATTAAAGTAAACCAAACCAGATGCTTTGCACACCATATAAGTTTGATTGCTACATGACAGAGAGAATACATTTGGAGGTTCATGGAAAGGCATACATGCAGGCAAGTTTTCCTTCTTGAAGGCTTTTTCCTTACTTTGTTTTTCTCGTATTTTTTCCTACTTTTTTTTTAACGACAGCAATTTTATTAATACATACAAAAAGTCAAACTTTACCAGATAAAAGGACCTTAAAAATACAAATTATTAAATAGAGAAACAAATTTAACCCAGTTCGCAGCTAGCATTGGGTAGTCAAGGCTCAACAGTTTTTGAACAAGGAGCTTTATCTACGAAGCCCTGGCTAATTTTCCATTTTATACACAGAAGCAAAACACATAACCTTTCATGTGAAAAATCGCCAACGAAAGCTTGATCCTGCATACATAATCAGCTGATAATCTGTGAATATCTCGTGATATTGACGCCAATTGTTGTTTTCTCAGTTTTTACAATGCGCGTGTTGCATTCTTTAATTTTTTGAACAGACGACCCTCATGTTACGACGCCAACAGAAATATTATACTTTAAAATATGACAACTTGCCATATCTCAGTCAAAACAGAAAAACATTGAAGGATAATATATAATAAACAAAATAGCCTCCTTTTTTTCTTCAAAAATGTGCATGGGGACGATAAATTTGCCCGCGGCCGGACATTACAGTACAAGATTACTTATATTTAACTAAAACTCCCTGACCCAAGCAAAGTGCTAACGCCATTTCACGCTCTAAACACACTTGTGCTTAAAGTTTCTGGTTACCGGTACATTGTAGAGTCGTTGCGAATGTTTAGATCATTCATAGTTGCACCAGTATCTGGCCGTTATGATTCGACAGATGTCTTGAGCACAGTGGCATGCGTATTCTAAAACGTTCGGTTTAATTGTTGCAGGCGGGTGACATCGCTTCCCACCTAACAAAGACCGAAGCAGTATAGGTAGAATCAATGATGGCCGACGAAGGGGGATGTCTTTTTTTGGATGTCAATTATAATTCGACGGAATATCTCTTCATTGGCCACATTGTGACCTTAGTCCTCAACTCTGTTTCGTCTCTCACCGCCGTAGCCGGCAACGGCGTGGTAATTCTCGTTGTGTGGAAGACGCCAGCACTTCACACGCCATCAAACGTGTTTTTGTGTTGTTTAGCGATCAGTGATCTTACTGTCGGATTAATTGCACAACCATGTTTCGTGATCCACAAAATCGGCGAACTTCTCGAAAGCTACAGCATGTATTGCACCACAAGAATATTGGCAGAGTCAGTTGGGTATATAACAGCCGGTACCTCTGTTCTAACCATGACCGGCATTGCGATCGAGCGATATCTTGCCTTATATCTACATCTGCGCTACAAACAAATTATAACCACGAAGCGCATCTTAGTCGCTGCTTTCTGTCTGTGGGTGTTTTTCATCTTGCAGGCCGCTTCTAGATTTTGGATCGCAAACGACAACATCTTCAACAACATCGCAATTCCTGTCATAGGTTGCAGTTTGGTCTTCACTTTCCTGGCCTATATGAAGGTCTTGAAATATGTTCGCCGTCATGAGAACCAAATTCATGATCAAAATGTGTCTAACCCCAATCAATACCCGGCGAGTAATCGTTTGCTGGGGATGAGGCGCTACAAAAAGTCGACTCTGACAATGGCGTACATTGTAGGCATCTTCGTCCTCTGTTACATCCCAATTCTGTGCGTCAAAATTGCTCACAAGATCGAGGGTTATACCGCAAGTGTCAAAACTGCGTATGTGTACGCATCCACAATCGTCTTCCTAAACAGCTCATTCAACCCCGTAGTTTACTGCTGGAGAATAACTGATATACGGAGAGCTGTAATAGGTATATTTTCGCGCTGTCTTCGGGGAAAAGAATTGCCTGGTATTGAAACAGTCGAAGCAAGCGTAAGACTTAGCGGGATTTTCCGTGGAAACAGAGCCTTTAGCGTCAGTAATTTCAACACACCCCGCGCTTCACTTAGCGTCATACAACCCGGCTGAAATTGACAAAATTTACACATTGACTAAGACATTTTGCAGAATAAGCAAAAGAATAAGAATACGATAGAGTGAAATCTTACAAAATTTCAATGGGACTACATTTTCTTCTGAATTTTTTTTTCGTTTTGTATTGTTGTTTAGTTTGTTTCAATACATCACGCAGTCTTGTAGAGACGCCATGAACGCGTGTGATAGGAAAAAATCTAACCGGCTAAATATATAAAATAAGATAATTTCAAATACTTTGAAAGCTAATCAATCGTAACTGGAATATTAATGACCAAGGCAAACATTTATTCAGCTTTCAGTTTACACATGTATGCACGAAACTCTCAAAAAGACCTGTTTAACGAAAGCATGATATTCAATTTTCAAGCCAAGAATGTCGTCTGCAAACTAATTATCAAAAATTGCTTCGCATGGCAGAAGATCCCAAGAAAAGGCAATGGAAAGTATGAAACAAAATTTACACGAAACAACTTTTAACATATGCCACCGGGTATTGTGTGGTCAGGTTACTCCAACATGACAATTTTGCCTCGAGAAATGTCATCCGTGTTTGAAGGTCTGATCGTTTGATAACTTGAACGATCAGAAAATTCTCCCTTGTAATACTTCTTTGAAAAGTCCTGTGTGCTCGTGTAGAAAATAAGTTCTCTCGGAAGCCATCCTCTATTACATCTAGTTTTAATTTCCTCAGTGGCATGTCTTTTAGAGCCACAATCCCGTTCTTTTTTTTTCTACCGGCAGGAACAGTTTCCCATCCCAGCAGCACTAATTAAAAATATTTTGTTGTTTTGAAAAGTTTTTAGCCGTGCGATACGAGCAATTTTTTCCAGTTGACAAGCTATCGTTGAAAAAAGAGAGTCTTGTCATAGATAAGACTCGCCAAAGAAAAAGATCGATTGTCATAACTTGTCATGCGCACAAGCAAGTCATCCATAAAACCTGTCGTACGTGATATGACATGGGAAAAAGAATATTGTCTTGACGTAACAACTTGTTTGCTATTTTCTAAAGACCCACACACCCGCAGTCTCAACACTGTTTTTCACTAAGGAATAAGCATAAGCGTAATGGATACTTTCGTGCCCATTACAGCGATTCTACCCTACTTAACGTATTGCCAATTAGTTTGGCACTTTTGTAAAGCCAGCGATTCGCGCAAGATAGAAAGACTCCGAGAGAGAGAGGCTTAAGGGCTGTATACAAAGATCACAACGCCACCTACTCAGAATTACTCAAGAGGGCTCAACTACCAACACTAGAGAACAGACGCCTGCAAAATGTATGCACCCTTATGTATAAAGTCAAACGCAAATTATGTCCAGCCTACATTAGCAACATTTTTAATACTCATAGCACTTCTTATTCCTTAAGACAAACTGATTTCAGCATTCTTGGATATAATACAGTAACATATGGTCAACATTCCATGCGCTACCTTGGACCAAAATTATGAGCAAAACTGCCTAAAAATATTAGATCTGCAAAAACTTTGAACAACTTTAAAAGCACTATTGCTGGACGACGGATGTATGCGTTGTTCTTGCTGTTCATCTATGTAGTTAGTTGTTAAATATAACTATTAGGTGATAATATTATGATAGTATTTATCAACAAATAAGTTTTTTTTTAAATTCAATTTCAATATGTTAATATTTTCCTAATTTTACTAAATCTTAGGTGAATACATTTTACTTTATAATTTTAGTCTCCCCAATTAGTAGAGCACTTGTGCTTAGCTATTAAGACTGAGACTTAAATAAAGTTATCATTCATTCATTCATTCGTCCCGTTCGCGTTTTCTCTTTTGGGAATTATTCTCTTTTCTTTCGTTTATTTATTTATGCTTTTTACTATTTTACATCAAATGCCAATAAAGCTTATTAAAGCTAGGTAAGTCACATACGGAGACGCACTTGAGCGCTGCTAAATTTTCCTAACAAAAGACGCCAATTATAAACATCTTACTGTGTCCGCGTATGGCCGGCTTATGCTTATGCACTGATGTAAATCAGCCTGTACCATCACGAACCATCCGCACAATCACCTAAAAATGTTTTTCATCACCCGCAAAACACGCCCAAAGCGAGGCTTTTTAATACGAGCTCGTACGAAATAAACCTCGCTCTAGTGAATCATGCACCTGCGTTTAATTCGGACAGGTCTTCACAAGGTATTGTAGCAGATATACAGGCGATTTACACCACAAAAAATATTTGGAACGGCTCGGATAAAACTGGTACAGGTGTAAATTTTCATCCATGCTCGGACTATCTTTGTATGGTTCGAGCACGAGTGAAAGTGAACACGGATGTCAAATCTATCCGAACAGTTCCAAAAATAGCGTGTAGTGTAAATGGGTCCTTAGACATATACGACAACGGCCCATACAAATGAACATCTTTTACTTAAGGCTGGTGTTCAGTGATGTAAATGCTACGATCCGGTTACGATCGCTATGACAGCTGCTATGGTGGCGATTACAGCAGAAAACGTTGAGAAACTATTAATATGTAAGTAATTTTTATTATTATTGTTTTATTATGACTACCAGTTTCCAGGTGATCGCTACAGAGATGACCTGGGGCCCGTTTCTCGAAGGTCCCGAAAAGTTTTCGCACCCGGAAAGCCATATAGCAAAAACTCGAACCATATGATTACTGAGCTGTTTTATTCACATATTTTTAATATGAACAGAGATTCCCTTTATACAAGAAGTTTCAGGCGTATACACTTCTCCGTTTTTAGATACAGATGAACTAAAAATGTCTTTACGGGCCCGAAAAGTTTCCGGGGCTTTCGAAAAATTAAACGGGCCCCTGGATCGAATAACGACGCAGTGCATTCTGGTATATGGTATGCATCCCGCTTCGACCACTACCTGGATTTGTTTAACGGTAGTCTCTTGTTCAAATCCACGGCCACGCTTGTAAATAACCAACTGGTTTGCCCCCGGCCAGTTGGGATTCTTAACAATGTTATGTTGAATTTAAATTATTTGTTTCAGTTTATATTTGCTCGGCCCCACTAGCCTTTGTGCTATAAACACTGCCGAGGGTAAATAAAGGTTTTATATTTTTGTATATATTTATGACAACGACTGCTATAATCTCTGGAGAGTACTTTGAGAATTGAATATGTCGCCATGATCGTTACGATGGGTGAAAGGACTGATGTCTATCTATAAGCGTTTATTGTCGTAACGACCGCTGCAATCGGTGAAGGGTTGTTTCCACACGATAGCAACGATCGCTAAACATTTCTCAGCGGTTTTAGGTTTTTGACTTCAGACTTTTCCAAATTAATTTGCTGAATCCGGTTTTAAAGCCGAAGGCTCGTTCTTCGCTGATCTTTTGCGTGCAGTCTTCGTTCCTCAGCCGCTGTCCTTTCGGGCCTGGGTCAATGTGCGCTGCGAAGAGAGAGACTTTTCTCGCGTCGTTTCGGTATGACAGCTCGGTTTTGACCGCGCCTTTCTCGCCGCAAACATAGTCACCGAATGCAAGTCTAGGACATCCGAAATAATTATAAAAAGGCAAAAAAGAGCCAACTGGGTAGGTTGGTGACCACTGACAGTTCATTAAATTACTGTTTGAATAACCAAGCTGTCGAAACAACGTACACGTTTAGTTTCCAGTTTCCTTTGTTTTACTTTGTTGATGTTGTTGTCTTCTCCATCCTCTGTCTCGATATATTGCACTCGAGTCCTCGATATTAAAGTCGGAATGTTTTCCATTTCCGTTTCCAGGATCCCGCTGTTAATTGAAATATACATTGTAAACGTTATTTCCGATTCCCATATTAGTTCTTTAATGAGTGTCTATTAAAGGGGGTCATAGATTCCGCAAACCGCCACAGTTTCTTCATTCGAAACCGCAGACCGCTTTCGTTTTTTCCTAAAAACCAAAACCACCCTACTAGTAGGACGATGGTCGTCATAACCGATCATTTAACAGTACCTAACATATTCTTTACGTTATGTTAGCGCAATAATCGTGTTTGTCCCCACAAAGACCACAAGATCTTCAGTACAGAACAAATTGTTTTCAGTTGCATTCAGTAATTATCTTGCAGCGGAGATAACGTTTTGACGTCTAATGGACTGTTCGCAAAGACAAAGATTGCTCGAGATGTTTGAACATAGCTAATAGAGGGTACTGGTTATGAACCCCGGCAAACATCAAAGGAGCAAACAAAGATGCCAAGATTTATGTTGGAAGGTCCATAACCGTACACAGTCTTTTGTTTTGCATTCATACAATATGCATGAATTACGTAACCAAAATGTCTCTGCTGGTTAGTTCCTAGGTCAGTAGTAAACAGCTATTGTGTTTTGTGCACGGTCAAGGCCAAAAAAGAGAACAAAAACATACAACAAAGAACTTTGTCGAGTTTCATAACCATTCCCCTCTATTAACTGTAGTTTGAATGACCGCTACAAAAACACGCAGAAACCAAAAACCGCGAGCTAAATTTATGATTTTCGGCAATTGGCCGCGCAATAGGTCACGTTCAATATATCAATATTCTAACATGGCTCCTAGGCTTTCGGGTCAATATCGTAAATTTTTTTTAAGCTTCTTTTGTCTCTCAATTCCCAAAATAGACTTGGATGCAAAGAAAACAAGACTAAATATAGAATGTTGTCCTGAAAGACTCGGAGCCATGTTAGAATATTGATATATCGAACTTGCTTATTACGCGTTGTTGTTCAGTTGCAGACCTCTCAAAAGAGCAGAGAAATTTTTCCCCTCAAAAATGATGGTAGCAATTCAAATTCAATGGGAGATGATGGTTTAAAGTGAACTGCCGTGATTACAATACAGAGATGGATTTTACGTTGCAGGCCCATATTTACACCGTGAATGCCAATATTCAGTTTGACTTTTGAAACTTGCGACAGTCCAAAGAAATCAAAACTTTTTAGCGTTTGTCTAGATACTACGAGATGAACGTGACGGCATACTGCCACGGGTTTAGGGAGCTGACCCGCCATTTTGAGAGACTGGTCACCACGTATCCAGCCTGGTTTGCCTCTGGTGTAGTGGATATAACGCCCCACTGGTATGCGGGGAGACGCGAGTTCGAATCCTGCTCGGGACACGAAATTTTTCTTTCATTTCAGAGACGTGTCTCGAAAGCCCCTTGTAAGTTATTTACGTCTTTCTCTCTTTGGCCCTCAAAACGCTTAATTTCCCATACCGTGCGTTGTTCAAACCACGCGCATCACTATATATCAGCTCGTTTCCTGCATGTAGTTTCTATATCTACTTGCACGTGCAAAACCATTATTATATTTGAGCTTTTGTTTAGATGTGCGAGTTCTCTAGCTCCATAGCATATGAAATAAACAGAGAGCTAGACAGTCTTAGACAATATCTAATCTCGCAACGTGCTGTAAATGTAATTTACAATGTATGGGTTCGACGTCAACTGAGTTTAAAATTAGATCGCCAATCATAAATCGAATATGCTCAACGATAGAAGAACGTGTGAATTGGCGGCACATTACAATAGTTCCCAACATGACATTTCTCAAATGAGGTTTATCGTCATTGAGCAAATTGTATCCTTCCAAAATCCATTACATTTAGACCAGTTACTGCTTACCAGAGAAGCCTATTGGATGACACAATTATTCACACTTAATCCGCATGGCCTTAACAAAAGGCGGAAATTTCGTCCCAAAAATCGTATTAATTATAGCAATTAATTAGACCTTTTCACATGTTCTTGCTTCGAGAATGATTGTGACTTTTCCAGCTCCTATTTTATCCATTAGTCCTTTGTAAATAGTTTCAATTTTTATGTGACTTGCCTTTTGCGTTCACGGGCCCCGGTTGGAGGATTCTGTTATTTTTGTTTTTGGTGGGCTGTTCATGGTCCCTCTGCCAGCAGGGAATTTATTACAGTATTGTTTAAGGGCCCTGCTTTGGGACTATGTAATAGCCTTAATTATGATCATTCAGAGGCCTTTTGCGGGGAATGTGTTACGTTTGGCTTATTACGTAACTTTTGCCGCTTGCTTTTATTCATACTACTGTAAATTAAACCTTTTTGTATCTCTTAATTAAGTTGCTTATATAAGCCTGTACCTCCGATACACGCAGCTAATGTAACTAGTATTTACTTTTTAGTTTTTAACGTTTATCTGAGGAAGGCTGAACAGCAAAAAACGTCATTAAATCGAGTCGGACCAGTAAGAAGTTCACCCCACTGTTCTCACTCAATATTTGTCTATAAATTCAAGTGGTGGCATTGCATCCTTTAGATCCTTCTGCTGGGAGTTCATTGTTTGTGTAAACCTTCATATTCTGCCTATATTAAAAAAAAAATCTATATTCATTTTTTTGTATACTTCTCCTTTAGGGAATAACCTTTCAGAAGATTGTACGATTTCAGATTCGATGATTCATTGATATTTCTAAAACAATCCTAAAACATGCTTTGCAGTGTATAAATAATTACACGAAACCCACAAATATTTATCGGGGGAATATATCGGTAGATTATAAACACTTTCACCTAATGAATCAGAGCCCATCAAAACAAAAGATGTGACTGGAAGTGGATTTTACTTGCAAATAAGTACTTGTACTAGCCCGTCTCTTGAAAAGGAACTTGTCCCAACATTTGTGTTTGTTGACTCACAAAAGGCGACAAACGGCGTCAACTTCAGAGCTCTTATTCGAGAGCAAGTGCCTGACATTTTTGCAAGGAGCAGTTTAGTTTCTACAAAGATAACTGCTGCCAAGATGTTTGCCATCGATTTTATCACCTTCGTTTCTCACGGCACTCCTTATGGTGTTGTTTGTATCGCTGCCACGGTGCTGGCGGCTATTTTGTTGTTCATGGACCACTATTCCTCGCGTTGTAGTAGGTCTGTGGAGAATACAGAAATCCAGTGTACTTCGTCCGGAAAGCTTAGTCGTCCAGTTGGACCTCTGGAAAAAGGCCTTATCAATGCCTTTGATAAACGACACATTCCAAAGATTGTGTTTCTTCTGCGTCTTAAATCGAAAGTACACCTTGTTCCCGAGATGGTTAGGCAGGCATTGGTGTTGCTCGCTAAACGCTATCCACTTTTGAGGATGAAAATATGCAAAGAGTCGCGCAATGGAGAACCGGTCACCGAATACTTCACTGAGGTGGAAGATCCTAGTGAAATCCCTTTTGAAGTAGTCAAGGAATTTAACGCCGAAGATCTTGAATCTACTTTTGAGCGAGAACTAGAGACACCTTTTGATCTAAACTTCGGTCCCTTGTGGCGCGCCGTTCTTTTAGATGAAATCCACGTAGATGGAGCCGCGAAGGACGCATACAAAAACTCGATTTTCTTTACCTTTCTGCATGTCATCACAGACGGTCGTTCAATCCTTCTTATGATGGAGCAATTTTTTCGTTATCTTACCCTGGTTTATGAAGGCCAAGAAGTTGAAGTCAAAAGCATGCCGTTCCGTCCTTCCACTGGAGTTCTGATGCGGCACCGCTGCACTCCGTCTGTACTGGACAAAATGGTTTACAGAGTGTCTTCGTGGATGTCAAATCTCAAGACGGTGTTGAAGATTCCAAGACCTGAGAACCTATACCTGGCCAGGTACCCACCAGTATTCACCCGCGACCCGGCTGCATCAGATAAAACGTCGGTTGTGTGGCGAGAGTATTCCTTCCAAGAGACACTGGGATTGACCAAGGCATGCAAAATGTTCAAGTGCTCGGTTCATGGAGCCATCACTGCGGCTGCACATTTGGCCATGGCAAAAATATTACACAAAGGCAAAGAAGAAACGTCGATAAACCCACTTAACCTTAAATCAAGCTGCAACGTCGATGTTAGGAAGGAATGTCGACCCGAGATTGAGAGCAATGAGTTTGCATTGTGTGTCAGCAGTTTCCGCACTGAAATCAAGGTAGCAGCCCGGAACAAGGATTTCTGGAAGTTTGCTCAACATTGCGCTCGGCATATCCAGTGGGCGTTCTTCACTGGACAGCACCATAAATTCTTGAAGCAATGCCAACTGAAATTGAAAGAATCTGCGCAACAAAAGGTGGCACAGTGTAACCAGCAAGATCTGAGAGTCTTCAATTTGTCCAACGTCGGCCGTCAGGAGTGGAAGTCAGGAGAAAATGGGCCTTACTGCTTTGACGGACTTGCAGCGTCGGTGTCTTTGCGTCCTTCAGGACTCGTCTTCGGGCTCATGTTTGCCACCACCAATGGAAAGTTACGTTGCACAAATAGCTACAATAAGCGGGTCGTGAGCAGAGAGCAGGCCCTGGAGTTTCTTGAGCTTACTCTAGATATTCTAAAAGATGCTTGTGATAAGGTTTCTAGCTCTTAAACGCAGTAAATGTTTCAGTAGATATTTACTTTTTAACCATCGGACGTACAAAGATAAGATAAGATAAAAACTTCATTGCTGTGTTGTAATCGCTGGCATACAATGTACACTAATTGTGGTCACCTAACTACAATTACTTGTCCAATAATTAATAGAATATGAAATATATGAACATATGTAAGTATAAACTTGAATAAAAGTATATATAAAACAAACAACGAGTCTTGCAATAATAACTATTGTGTTGTTCCATAGAAAACAGTCTTTACAAGTACTGTCCAGTGGGCTTGTGAAATTATCCAATTTGATGCCTATGCGCTTTTTAAAAGTGTCCAATGATTTAGTTGATCGAATAGTTTTGTCGAGTTTGGACCAAATGACAGGACCTAAATAAGTCAGGCTATGTTTGCCATGAGCAACATTCCTAAATCTGAATATGGTGAAATCAGAATTTCTAAGATGATACTGAGAATTGGCATGGTAACAACAAATAAGTCCGCAATGTAAGGAGGCGCCAGAGCATTTTTGACGTATGAGGTGTATGAAGTGTTGCTAGTTTCGCTCTTTGGAAGAGTTACGTCCCTCATACGCCGATTTATTATCAAAATAAACAGCGCGTAATGCTCGCTCTTACCAACCACCTTAGCGCTCAAACAAACCACCTCAGCTTGTAACATCACCTTGGTACAAAGTGGTGGAAAACCCGCTTGAGTTTTCGCATCGAATTGATTTGATTTCAATCAGTTAAAAGCGATCTTTGGTGTACATCACTGTGTACATTTTTTTAGTCCCTTTTAACACACGCCGACTTTGAGCCGAGAAGGCTACATGCTCAGTTGAGACAAATTGACTCCAAATAGCCCGCAAGGGCTACGGGTCAATAGCCCATAAGGCGAAGCCGAATGGGCTATCGACCCGTGGCCCTTGAGGGTGAAGGGTCTAATTGTTAAATAGTCGGACAGAAAAGGTGATAAACTAGTCGGACAGAAAAGGTAATAATAAAGTTAGCAAATGCAAGTTGAAGAAATATTTATTTGGGAATACAACGAAAGAAAGCGTCACGCTCGATGGCGCCAATTTCGCTACTCGATGACTATTACTAATAGTCCCCTGGTAGCGTAGCCAATCAAAATGCAGGATTTGCATTAGTCCACTAGTTGGGTGATACTAATATAATTTACGAATACGAAGGGTTTCGCGCGCGGCGTCGTACCCAAGCCTCGAGCTGTTTTGGCATTGAAGACTGGGGATGAGTGTTTATCCCGCCAAAACAAAATGGCGGCTGTCTTTTGGTGCTTGACTCGTTCGATCTTGCTTGAACATAGGAGAAAGCGAATCGACTAAGTAACCGTAGATTAGGTTATTGCAAATCGTGTAGTACTTCACCAACAAAGGTAACGCAGCTAAACATAAAATCTGTTGCAAGCCGAGATGGAGAGACAACCGGATCTCGCCGATCAACTGCGAAACTGGGCCTTGGATGAAATGCGATTTAGACCCCACGGACGACACGTAAATACGACTCTTCCTACTAACGAGGACTTTAAGATGTAAGTACCTCAGAGTTTTTAAATTTAGCTCACAACTAGCTATTTTGATAGCTGAATTTGCTGTCGCAGTGTAGGCTGCAACAATTAATATCAGCAAACGGATTCCCAGAGGGGGGCAGTTGAGCATAAAATGTGACTTTGTCCACTCCCTCTGGGTTAGCATTCATAGATGCAGAAGTTAGTTGTAAGCTTTCAACTTAATCACGTTCAGCAGTTTAAGCTTACCTGTAAATGAAACAATATGCATTTCAAGTTTTGTTAGGTCTTGCATATTTTAATATTCAAGATTATTCAAAGTCCGATTAAGCTAACCCAGGATTAGCAAGAGTTTTGATCTCAGTTTTGTAACTTTTTGGTGAGGTATTTCGTTTACATTGCTTGTCCTTCAGTTTTGAACTTTGAATAATCTCAAACTACACAAAACATAAGCACTGAAAAGCGTTTTAAACAAGAAGAATTAATACTTCAGTTAACTTTTAATCCTGGGTTAGCGTTAACTGGCTTTTGAACAACCTGGCCCAGGGCTATTGGAGAGAACCTTCTTGGCACACTGCACAGTAGCTCTGTAATAATGTACGGTAGCATGTTCAACTTAAGGTGATTACTGCTACAATGTAGATGAGCAGGTCATCTTGCATCAGGGCTGTCAGTAAGGGCTGTAACCCGTAACACCTGTTACTGCTGAGTACAATGTATGTTTGATGGACCCTTGATGTTATGGGTGAGCTGGCCTGTACTTGATACAATCAACTCATAAAGTAACAAGTTTGCCATGAGTGTGAAGATCAAGGCTACAAGTAAATTAAAGCTTAATGACAGCCCTGTGTATGCTCTTGCCTCTGGTTTTTCATTTGAATGTAACAAGTTTGATATTATTGTATCGACATTGATACTGAAGAAATTTATTCTGCAGGTTGTGTCGTGGGGTCATGGTGGATGTTTGGAACTATGTATTGCAGCATGTCAGGTCCACAAAGTGAGTGTTTGCAATAATATCGCACTTAATATTACTATTATCATTATAAAGATACGGAGTGTTATTGTATGTTTTCTTAGATATAAATTACAATTATTTTTGTTTGAATACTGGCATCAACTCTATTCTTGCAGTCACATGCAAGTCACTGAAAAATCAAGAGCACACTAATTTCTTTTCATTTTTGTTACAACAGAACTGTCCAGAAGATTCATGGGAACTTAAAGTTGTATCTTTTTCTGCTTTACAGAGCTCAAAGTTAACAACCAACTGGTCGCATATGCAACTAGATTTTTGGCTGTGCGCCCAAAAAAATCATGTGTGGTCGCACCACCACACCTTCAAAGCCAAAGTACAGTGCGACTTCTCTAGTGCTTACTCACCTGACCATACTAACGTACTCAGATTGATAAATATCATATAAACATAGATATAACGCAACCAGGCACCAAATAATAAAGTTTCACGTGACCATGTTCCTTTCATTGGTGTGTGTTCTATTCGTCATCTTTAAGCCTAATTTCCCAGTGGATTCTCCGAACTCGAATGTTCATTTCTTCCCCACGTTCTGTGTTGTAAACAACTCCGCTGACACATATGCATGCAAATGAAGGAATGAAGCCCATGCTTCTTCCGCAATCGATGATCTAGCAGAAAGCGTGGAAACTGGGGATGAGAATTAAATTGTGTGCTCGTTCTTCGCGAACAACAGTTACAGAATGCTGCGTTTTGTAAAGAAAACTTTGTTTTCGCTTGTCTGACATACAAAAATGTCCAGCGTTTTTGGAACGGGCTGGTCCATGAGTTCTATGGCTTGAAAGCTAGCCAAAGTTCATGCTAGTTCTACCCAGATGTTGAATAAATCAAGAATGTTCGTGAACAGAATTTCAAAGGGAGGCAAACAATAAGCAATTGGATAGTGAGGATACTCAACGGAGCGACGTCAGTAGTTAACTGATCTAAGCATAACCCTTGTGTGAAATATCCCGATTCTTTTATTTGTTTTCGTTGTGTTCAATACTGCTAGAATAGGCCCATATTGCAACAGGAAGCCTGAGTCGCTCTTTTTGGAGCGTTAAGTATTCTTTTCGAGTAGGTGCTCCAAGTATTTGAAGCTGTGCGCCTAAAATTTCGGCAGTGCGCCTAAAAATTTACACCTGGTCGCACAAGTGCTCCCAAAGCCAAAAATAAACTTTGAGCCCTGCTTTAATTGAGGAATGCAACATGTAGCATAATCTAGAACTGTCATTTTGTCTTTCAGTTTGTTCTATTTCAATACATACAGTGCCAGTTTGCAACGTACAGTGGAACCTCCTGTCAGCGACCACCCAAAATGTCAAGCCTAGGTGGTCACTTATGAGAGCTTAGACCATATTGGGTCAAAAGTTTGCCTCATTATCACATGGTAATTGCAGAGACTTACCCCAGGGTTTAAATGTTTTATTCATGTGAAAAGTTACTTTCAAGAAAAAATCTGGTACTTTCCGTCTCTTGTACCAGCCAGGAATGCAATAATGTTACAACACCTTATATCCAATTTGTGCTCTATTATCTGTCAAGTGGTCACTTAAGGTGATTCCCCAGTAAAAGAACCCGCCATAGATTTCCGAGGAAACTTGGTACGCTGTTGTGACAGGACAAGGAGATGTTAAAAACGTAGTCAAAAGAGGGGGTCATCTTGCTTGTTTTCACACCCCAATGCTGAGAAATACCATTATTTAGGTGACTTTTGGTAATCTGCGTGCACAACAAATAAGCTCGATTATTTTTCAGTGCAGCGTGTTATATCGCACAGAGTTTGACTTTCTTTGATTGTTTATTCATCTATGTCCCAGAAAAAAAATGTCTTCAACTACCCTGCATTTTTTATCCTTTAAAGGAAACATAATTTGGACATGCGCTGTTGGGCCTGTTACAGTATGTCTCCCTCTGTAGTATGTATTTCATTTGCCAAAAAAGGAAGCCATAGATTTCTGCCAATTATTTTCTCAGTTATTGAGGATATTGTTCCCATTGAAATTATGAAATAATAAGTGCGGGTAACCGTACTTGCTTAAGAGAAAAGGAGCATTTATCTCACTATCAAGCTTAGTTTGAGGGAAATCTGTTACGTTTCGTACGCGCTCACGCTCATGTGCATGCTAATGATGCGAAAATCGTGCATAGTAGGTATGTGCAATGCAATACTAAGGAATCACCTTAATACATGAGAGTTTAAAAACAAAAGAAAATTTCAAACTTTTAGCTCTTAAGTGGTCACAGTCGCTTACGAGAGGTGGTCGCTTTCAAGAGGTTCCAAATACAGTGATTCGACTTGGAAACGTTTGGTATTTTGGAAAACTGGTAAGGAGAGGTGGCCGCTTATGAGAGGTGGTGGCAAACAGAAGTTCTACTGTATTTGTTATTGAACAGTGTCCATCAATAATGTACATCAGTATGTAGACTACACAAGAATATTCTCACTGTACAAATATTCTCACCATGGAAAATTTGCATGATTCCAGTTAAGGTGAGGTAAAATCTATGTCAGGCCAAATGGCTGAAGCTTATCCCAGTTTCAGTAGCATGAAGTGGCTAAGAGTATTTCTACTTCCCCCTGAATGGGATCCTAGTCCATCACAGGGTTACCCTTACAGCATTTAACAAATTAGTGGGTACCCATTTGCACACCTGTGTGGAGAGAGCTACCATGAGAGTAAAGTGTCTTGCCTAAGATCACAATGCAATGACCCCGGCCAGGACTCAAACTTGGAGTGCTTAATCCAGAGTCTACTGCACCAACCATTAGGCCGCTGCTCCTCTGCAAGGGGCTGATTTCATTTCACTTGTAGACATGTTGATTGAAAGCTGTATGAAATGTTGAAGTTCCCTTGACAACATAACCTTTTCTGCTAGACAAAAGCTAATCCAGGAAATGGCGGCTCATCCAGGTGACAAACCAAGTGATGAAGAAAGAGAAAGCATCAAAGAAAAACACTCTAAGTTAACAAAAGAACTTTTAGAAGTCAAAAGCAAAGTTCATCATCTTGAAAAAGAAATCAAAGCTGTGCAGAAGGAAATTCTTGAAGCAGGTTGTAATATTTTTTTGTGTCTTTGTCTTGTTGAAACAGTGTATTTTATCTGAAGTTTGCCATGTTGGGAACAATTTTAAACGCTCTTTGACTAACAACTGGTACCTAGGGAAACAACATTGTCTGCTGCCCAAAGAACTTGTAGTTATTTTTTGGGTGAACATGTAAGTACATTATTTTTATTACTGTCCTTGTAAATGTTGTTAAACTAACTCTTTTGCAGAGGAAACTTACTCTGAAGGTGGTCGACAAATATCTGATCTCGCCAAAAGAACTACTTTGCTGAGTGCTCATTCCAAGCAATGCAAGCAGTTAGCAGAATTGTACAGAAGCTTGGCTAAACAGATCAATGACAAGATAACAATTTGTAGGGATGTTGCAAGGTGTGTAATACATACAACAGTATATAATTATTAACCAGTCGTATTTAACAGATACATTTTTTTGTAGACTTTCATCTGTACATATAATGCTGTACATACATGCACTTGTATAGAACAGTAATATGGTTTTTAAGACCGAAAGTGTAAAACGTTGTCCACAAGGACTTAATGTTTTACTTCCCTTTTTTGTTTCCTTTAGAAAGAAATCCATGGATCCAACATATTACACATCACAAGGAATCATTGCTGGAAGCTCACAGGCATTTACTACTGTTGAAGGACGATCAACTCCTACTGGGTTGGAATCAGCTTGTACTGTAAGTGTCAGGGAAAAGTAAACCTTGCCACAAATTGTGAAAAAAATGCTGTGCGAAAGTGCATGCCATGGTTCTAGTAAATTATTGCACTAGCTATAAATCTGCATTTTTTTTTCAGAAAGGAAGCAATCTCCCCTTTGAAAGAAATCTTTTCTAAATTCAAAGACTTAAATGCTTGGAGGTGTTGGGGGAAGTCAAATCGTATAATTAAATTTTATCAAATCATATATTATACTAACAGTACTCCTACAGTTGTATGTGAACACTTGGCCATGGCTTATGTTGTCGCAGCAGTCATCTTCCAACTTCTAATTGGGTGTCTTTAACTTATTAGCCTCTAGAATTGTGATTTGGAGCACTTCACCTTGTTAGTAACAATGTCTGTGATTTTGCTACTTGTACATGGATGTACATTCATGGGAATAAATGAAACATGAGCGATTGAATGATTATATAAAACATTTATGAATTGGTTGATTTTGTTATTATGTTGTTAAAAGCAACTGAGTGTTTTGTGTTTTTTTTTTCTTGCATCAGAGATCAGTTAGGGAATCGTGTGAAAGAATTGGTTCCTTTTTGTATGACGTGTGCAAGGCAGAGGAAGAAACTGGAAGGTGATGTAGTTTGTATGATTGTATGACTTATTCATAACATTTGAAACTGATCATCCCATCACATTGTACCAGTACACGTAGGCTCATAAGACCGTCACATTCTCAGTCCAATACTCTCAAGATGGGGTGGAAGAGTTGGAATGTGCATTCCAACCCAGGGCTGTGATTAAGGGCGGCAACCTGTAGCACCTGTTTACGGCTGAGTATGCTTGATTTTCCTTTGATGCTAGGGGTGAAATTGCCTGTTGTTGATAGAATTCACCCACAAGTATCAAAATTGCTACGGGTGTGGAGAACAAGGCTACAGCCGGACTAACAACTTAATGACAGCCCTGCAACTCTTCCACTCCATCTTGTTTCTCTCTTTTTCAGCAGTCTTTGTTCAAGTGGTATACTCATACAGTAGCATTTGAAATATTACTCAAAGTACAATGTAGTGGCATACAGGCTGGCCTGTTTACACTATTTGTGCACTTGCCAAGCTTAAAGACATAACAAGAACTTCACTACAAGTGTAGTTGATCTAGAGTGGTTACAAGTTGAAAAGGCCCAACTCATGGTCAGTTCTGAATTTGTTTGTATTAATAATTTTGTTAGAATTGATGACAGCAGTCAGAGAAAGGTTAAAGATCAGTTGTGGACTGGAGTAGAGGTTTGTTTTGTTTTGTAAATAGTCAGTATGTAAGTGTCTTGAAAATACAGTTTTGTAACTAGTAAGCATGTAAGTATGGTATGTTGAAAGTACATGTACTAGTTAATACACGCCTGTTGGAGAGGTGTTACAGGGTGCAAAGAAGAGTTAATTTTTGAGGCTTGCACTTCAGGCTATGGGAGGTTGAAAAATTAATGTAGGGTTTGTATGTGGCTTGATCCTTGAGTCATGATGAACTTAAGTGTCCAAGAGGTGTCTGCTTTGAGGAGTGGCAGAGGTTTGACTGTATCTTGTACATATCTTTTGGATGTTCCAGTAGAGTATCTTGTGGAGGTTCAACTGTATCTTGACACCCATGTGTAAATACTGAGTAGATTCACTAAATTTGTTGATGAACAATTAATTTTCTTCCAACACATCTTTAGAATATCTTGTCTCAGCACCTGGCAGATGACGTCCTCACCTCATTGTCTCGAATAGCACAGGACTCCGCCGTCAGCCTGCGGGAATTGTCTGCCAGAATTGACCTGAAGAAAGATGCCAGAGAACTCAAGTTAGTTTTTGGAATGATTTTGCAGTACTCATTGAGTGGTGCTTCATATGAAGTTTTCTACATGTATTTTGTTTCCTTTCATCAGGTTTAAATATGAAAACTCTGGCAAACTAACTGACACATCATCCCCACCTTCCTTACTGCAAAGTGTTCACCAGTTAATAGAGGTGAGTCGTAATCTTTTGTATTATCTGGGCCAGACTCTTGACTGTAGGATTAAGCTATGAACTGTTCACGACCCTCTATTTTGTAATAATTTTCTTCAATCGTTTAGCTTAGACTTTTAGAAAGACTCACTGGAGCACTAGACATTTAAGCACAAAAGTGGAAGCACAGTGAGGTGCAGTGTTGTGCAGAGGTAGAATGAGATTCTACTTCTCCAACATTGGTGCAACAATGACAACAACAAAACAAACAAACAAAAACATTGCTGCAACAATATTAATGTGCCCACTATTGGTGATGTTGTGCACTGTGGTGTGGCACAACTATCTGCCATTCTCTACTTTAAGCCATCCAATTTTGAAGCGAGACAAAATGATTTGTCACTCTTTTTGACTCCGGCTTTTCTCCTCTGAGAGCGTCTCATGCCCCCACGGTACTCTAGTCAGGGTTGCCATAGGTTAGGAAATTGGCAGGGAAAAAATAAAATCCTTCAAGGTCAGGAAAAAGTCAGGGAATTTTATTTTGAGTTAGGGAAAATTGACATTTTGAAGAAAAGGCAGGGAAATTTGAAATAACTT